GAACAATTTTCATATTCGTATGATAAGCATAAATGGCCTATCCATTCTTTAATATCTATAATCGCATGACAATATGATGTTTATTAAAAAGTAGACGAAAATTCTATCCCCATTTTTGGTATAATATAATCATCAAATTATAGGACCTAATATATCCGTCTATGGTATACGTGTAGTCTAATTCGAACAGTTGTGTATCATCGCGTATGATGCGATAAGTAATCTCTTTTGGAACCAAGTATAATCCCACAACATTACATTATAAGTATATAACGCGCGGTATATCCGGCGGCGTACCAATAGGTCACATGGGTCGAGTTCTCATTCTTATCGGAGGAAATAATGCGTACAACCAACAAAGCAGCAGCTATTTTCCGTTGTGAGACAAAATTTAAAAGGAAGTTTGGGTCTCGCACATAGTTCGTATTATTATTATTATTATTACGTTAAGGGTACAAAACGAACGAACACGTCATGTCGATACGTGCGCGTACGACAATCAGTATGATTAACGCGTGCGTCTCCGGCTCTCTGCCGTCGGAGTTCATCATCCCCGAAAACGCACGACGTCGGTTTACGAGCGACGTCGCCGCGGCGTCCGCAGCATCTGAGAGCGAGCGATCGCGGGCGCTCTCACACACGCGCACGCGCGCGCAGAGGCATGCGGCGGCGCACTCCCCCACCGACGCCGACGCCGACGCCGCCGCCGCCGCCGCTGCCACCGGAGAAGCAGCCGTCGCGCCGGCGGACACAACCGGTTTTATTTTTAGCAGTCTATCCGCACTCCGCCGCCGACGCCGCCGCATCGACAGCGCACTCGCAGCATCAGCACACGCAGGCCACCAGTACCAGCGCCAGTACACACGACATTGCACGTCGCCGCGATCGAATACCACTCGCGTAATCGGGACGCCGCGCGCGCAATCCGTCGTCGGACATGCGTTGTTGAGGACGACCAACGATCGCGATCTTCCCGTACACCCGCAGGTAAGTGCTAGTACCGGTCGACAACGCCGTGATCCATAATTATTCTCGGCGAGACAATATCATCGCTATGCATGCCAATATATTGTTAAATAATTATTCCAATAGACCGCAACGCACCGGGTCGATCGTAAAAAAAATAAATAATATACGATATTCCTTAACAATAACCGTCACCGATGTTAAATMGAAACTAAATAATATCGTGWTAGATTTAAAATCGTTTAGTCCGTTTTTGGAAAGTCTAGAAGGCATATTATAATATATAGGTACCGTGCACTCATTACACTGRTGATATTATGCTACACGAAAAGAACAATATATAAGGGGGGTTTACTCTGTATAATATGGGTGGAAGGTATATTATATATATTATCATCGACGTGTCCTCGATAAACAATAATCTGCTTTTAAAAATTTTGACAGATTTTCGTTTTCATTGTACGCGTCAACCACATAATATCGTACAGGGTGCGGCATAAGTCGGTTCCTCAATTTACACAACAAAGAAATTACAAATAATGAATGTGCGGGAACCGACTTATGCCGCACTCTGTATAATAATAATATAATATAGTGCCGTCTTTTAATACCATATTATAATACCAACTATACAGCGCCCGTTTGTGTATATCGGCCGATGCACACGTGTGCTAGTCGTGCCCGGCACATGTGGCTCACACATTTCCACAATATTTTTTTCGGTCCCTTCGTCCGAACTATTTGGGTATCTACGAGCGCGAGATCGGCTTGTGT